GCATTTCCAATTATCAATGCTCATTAAGTTATCGACGCGTCTTCTGGCCGCGTCCTCAGCTGAAAGGTGCGAGGGAATCTGGGGGACTACGAACTCCGACGGGTCCCTGCTCCTGAAGTGCTGGTCAACTTCATGCCATAAACAACTCAACTCCCCCTTGCATCGCATCTGATGTGCTGCTTATCGCGCCAGCCTCTGCCATCTAACTCGTTGCCAGTCACCAAAAAAAAATGGGCCCAGCCGAACCTCGGGCTGCCCGCTCAAGGGCGCGCAACTCTCCTCGAACGACAAGACTGGGCGCGCCCTGTCAAGGGCCCTGAGACTCCGGTATTGACTGCAGCGTGTGCGGTATCTGACATAACAACCAGCCCAATGCCAACCCGCCTGAGCGTCGAAAAACGACTGTCACCGCCTCCTGAGGCATCGCCGCAGATGGGGAGCAGGGCGTCGGTGGTGCCCGTGCCCGAGGTCCCTGGCACGGGCGTCTGGATGTTGGAGGTGGTCATGACCGGCTGCTCGACTTCTGCTGGCGGCGTCGCGCGTGTGTGGCCTGCTGGAATGATGCCTCGAAGCCAGAAATCGGGCGCGATCTCGGCCGGCGTCGGCGCCTCAGGGGCGAGGTCGCCCGTGGAGCTGTAGGCCGCGGCCCCGCAGTTAGCTCGACATAACCAGCCCCTGTGTAGCATCGTCTCTGGTGCTGCACTGCACTTCAAACAAATGGGGGACTCGCAGAAACCGAAATCGCACTTGCGCTGCCTGGCCCAGCAGCCGCCTGTGGAAATGGCGAGCGAGAGCTCCGCAAGCTTGGCGCAGTGAGGCATCTCACGAAGACGAAACAAGAGCGTGCGCAGCGACTCATTGTCCGCGCCGTGCTCGAGGCTCTCTCCGCAGAATTCCTGAGAAGCCTGTTGCCAGAGATTTCCTGCGAGTGATTCTCTGAAATCGAAAAGAAAGTCCGATGTATCCACCTGTTTGGAGGCTATGATGTCGTCGTCGAAAGTCCGGTCCACTCCTGGATAACCATGGCGCGCGAGTCTGGTCCAGCGCGACGGTGTCTGGGGGTCCCACTCTGCATTCACTAGGTAGGTGACGACTGCCGACGCTGGTCCTCGCGCGTGCCTTGATCTCTCTTGGACTGGCATGTCTTTGATGGCGGCGACGAATCTGCTCCAAATCTGGCGAACTCCATTGCGAAACTCAGGATGCTTCATACACGTGTCTAACCACTGCTTGAGACATGATGAAGGCAATTTCACAGCGGGGTCCTGACCGAAGGCTCGAAGGGCCAAAAGTGTGGTGAAACAGCGCCCACGCTGGGGCGCCCCTGCGACAGCGCCGACTTGTCGCAGCATGTTGCGCAGCTCGGTGCCAAAGATGCCGTGTGCTTGATGTGCGTTTGCTGCTGATGCCTGGGGGCCAGCAATCTGCACGCGCTCGGTGACTAGGTTGCACTTCGAAGCGAAAGTGTGCCCACGCAACCGTTTGCTCCGAACCTTGGCCTTGACCACTCGAGCAACTCGGGTTGCGCGGGCAGCTCGTCGACCACCGCCGAGGTCGACTCTTAGATACCCTGCTTGTCGAACGGCCTGACTGTCGATACTTCGCCTCCTCAACTGCTTCACCACCGCCTTGGAGTCTGACATGGGCCCGCACTGCACGACGCTCTTCGACGCCAGGGTGAGCTCTTGCTGGTGAAGCTCGTCACGAACTAAAGTCATGCCGTCCAGACTGACAGGAGGGGTAGTGCGACAGGACCAGGGAAACAAGGACGTGGGGAACTCAAGGCGAATGAGAACACGACAAGCCCGTACCGTACTTACGGTGCCCTTTGCCCTTCCTTTTTTCTCTGATCGGCTAAGCCCCCCTTGCCATGGGTCGGGCATGCCCCCCTGCAGGCGGTTTTTGGACGACAAATTAAAAACATTCAAAAATGCTCCCATGCGTTCAAAAATATCCAAAACGTCGTCCCCAAATTTCAATACTATTTTTGAATGCCGGCCCTGGCCCCGGACCCAGTCCCGGCCTCGGCCCCGGCCAGCCCCGGCCCGGCTCGGCCCTGGCCCTGGATCCAGTCCCAGCCTCGGCCCTGGCCCTGGCCCTGGCTCCCGGCCCGCTCCGGCCCTGGCCCTGGCCCTTGCCCAGGTCCCGGCGCCCCCCAAATCTAACTGCACCTCCGTGGCCTCCCCGAGATGCCGAACCTAGTCTCGAAACAACGAACGAAGCCTGGAAGTCGCCCCGAACGCTCCAAGACGCCCCGAATGGTCCTGATAGGCAACCGGCGTCGTCGTCAACATCTTCAACATCAGCGCCCTTATCTCCCTCCTTCTCCTGGTCCCGGCCCCGGCGCCCCCCAAATCTAACTACACCTCCGTGGCCTCCCAGATGCCGCAGGTGCCGAACCTAGCTTCAAAACAACGAACGAAACATGGAAGTCGCCCCGAACGCTCCAAGACGCCCCGAATGGTCCTGCTAGGCAACCGGCGTCGTCGTCAACATCTTCAACATCAACGCCATTATCTCCCTCCTTCTCGTGGTCCCGGCCCAGGCGCCCTCCAAATCTAACTGCACCTCCGTGGCCTCCCGGATGCCCAAGATGCCGAACCTAACCTCGAAACAACGAACGAAACATGGAAGTCGCCCCGAGGGCTCCAAGACGACCCGAATGGTCCTGGTAGGCAACCGGCGTCGTCGTCAACATCTTCAACATCAACGCCATTATCTCCCTCCTTCTCCTGGTCCCGGCCCCGGCGCCCCCCAAATCAAACTACACCTCCGTGGCATCCCAGATGCCCAAGATGCCGAACCTAGCTGCAAAACAGCGAGCGAAGCCTGGAAGTCGCCCCGAGGGCTCCAAAACGCCCCGACTGGTCCTGATAGGCAACCGGCGTCGTCGTCAACATCTTCAACATCAACGCCATTATCTCCCTCCTTCTCCTGGTCCCGGCCCCGGCGCCCTCCAAATCTAACTACACCTCCGTGGCCTCCCAGATGCCCAAAATGCCGAACCTAGCTTCAAAACGACGAACGAAGCCTGGAAGTCGCCCCGAACGCTCCAAGACGCCCCTAATGGTCCTGATAGGCAGCTGGCGTCGTCGTCAACATCTTCAACATCAGCGCCTTTATCTCCCTCCTTCTCCTGGTCCCGGCCCCGGCGCCCCCCAAATCTAACTACACCTCCGTGGCCTCCCACATGCCCAAGATGCCGAACCTAGCTTCAAAACAGCGAACGAAGCCTGGAAGTCGCCCCGAACGCTCCAAGACGCCCCGAGTGGTCCTGATAGGCAACCAGCGTCGTCGTCAACATCTTCAACATCAACGCCATTATCTCCCCCCTTCTCCTGGTCCCGGCCCCGGCGCCCTCCAAATCTAACTACACCTCCGTGGCCTCCCACATGCCCAAGATGCCGAACCTAGCTTCAAAACAGCGAACGAAGCCTGGAAGTCGCCCCGAGGGCTCCAAGACGCCCCGAGTGGTCCTGATAGGCAACCAGCGTCGTCGTCAACATCTTCAACATCAACGCCATTATCTCCCCCCTTCTCCTGGTCCCGGCCCCGGCGCCCTCCAAATCTAACTACACCTCCGTGGCCTCCCAGATGCCCAAGATGCCGAACCTAGCTTCAAAACAACGAACGAAGACTGGAAGTCGCCCCGAGGGCTCCAAGACGCCCCGAGTGGTCCTGATAGGCAACCGGCGTCGTCGTCAACATCTTCAACATCAACGCCATTATCTCCCTCCGTTCCTTCGCGTCCCCCTCCCGCGACCCTGCTCGCCTCACTCTCCTCCATTTCATTCGCGGCGAAACCAAACGCGACCTCCGAGGTCTGGTCAAAAATGGGGGGCAAAGGTTTGGATATAATAAATGAAAGGGGCCTTGGGACACACAAGTAAATACACACAAATGATCCCCCATATTTTTCAATATTTTCTGGGCCGTCGTCTTCCACCCCACTTCCCATATTTTCCCATGTCGACGATTCGGAAGGCTCCCGATTTCCTCCTCGCCTGGTGGTCATCGGGTCTTGTCGGGCGGTGGACAAACCTGCCTTTAGTAAACCACCCTTTAGTGAAATCCTCCTTTTCCTCCTCCTCCTCCTCCTTCTGCTCCTCCTCCTCCTCCTCCTCTTCCTCTTCCTCCCTCTTCCTCCTCTTCCTCCTTTTCCCTCTTCCCCTTCCCTCCTCCTCGAGGCTCCCGATCTCCTCCTCCTCTTCCTCCTCCGCCTGCATGCCTCCTCCGTCTGCACCTCTCCGACGTTCGGGCCCGGGGCCTCGGGCCTCCGCTCGGCAACCGGCTCCGCACCTGCCGGGCAGAAGGCTGCCGACGACGTGCTGGCGCTGGCAACGCGCGGGCCTCTTCGACGCCTGGTGGTCTTCGGGCCTTGTCGGCGGTGGACAAACCTCCTTTTAGCAAACCACCCTTTGGTGAAAACCTCCTCTTCCTCCTCCTCTTCCTCCTCCTCCTCCTCCTCCTCTTCCTCCTCCTCTTCCTCTTCCTCCTCTCCCTCTTCCTCCTCCCCCTCTTCCTCCTCCTCCTCTTCCTTCCTTCGTCGACGCCTGGTGGTTTTCGGGTCTTCACTGACCGGGGGCGCGCACACACGGATTCGCGATCCATGGATTTGGCGCGCGGTCGCCAAATCCACGGATCGGGGGAGGTGCCCTCCCCAGAATGCGGCCGGTGCCGCCTCGTTCGGCGGCGGAAATCCACCATTTCCCATGGAAACGGGACCCGTCGCTAATCCACGCCCCCCTTGATCCACGTTTGCGATCGCCTGAACTTCAGCCCCGGAAAGCTCTCGACGAGGCGCAGTTGCTGGATGGCACCCCGAGACGAGCAGGAGCGAATTGAACCTTCCTCCCCTCCCTCCCCCTGGCCATCACCCTCAGGGATCTCTCCGAGAGCCTCTGAGGCCGAGGGCCTGCGAGGGGCCTCCGAAGGGGGCTCCGAGGGGCGCCGCCGAGGGGCGCCGTGCCCGACGGCCGCGGCAGACGGCGCGCCCGCGCCTGCCGCAGGCACGCCCGCGCCCGGCGGCGGCCCGAAGAGCGACACGCCCTCGCGGGCGGCGGCTGCGGCGGCTGCGGCGGCTGCGTCGCAGGCGACGGTGGCGGCGACTCCAGCGGCGACGGCAGCTACGGCGGCTACGGCGGCGAAGCCGACGGCGGCCACTGCGGCGGCGACGGCGGCGGCAGCGACGGAGGCGATGGCTGCGGTGGTGGCAGCGGCGAGGACGACGGCGGCTGCTACAGCAGCGTAGCATGAATTTCCCCTTGCTGGGCCTCTGGCGGGACCCTCTTCCTCCCTCCTTTTTTTTTTTTCTCTCTCTCTCTCTCTCGTCCCTCTCTCCTTCTGGCTCCCTCTCTTGCAGGTGTGTTTCGAGCGGATCGCGTTGGACTGGTACTGACCCACGCTACCCACTGCCCCGCCACGGCCGCCACCATTCTTGCACGCGCCATCTTGCCCGCCGCTTCTTCCCTGCCCACACGTCCACGCGTGGGGCTTGCAGCGGCCACGCGGGCAGATGCCTTTCACAGCTGATGGCTGCTCCCTACCGCATCTGAGGGTCCCGAAACGATGCTATGGCAGACCGTGCGGTGCCCTCTGAACCCCCCCACACCTCACCGCAAGGTCCGTCCACGCACGGTTTCGGGACCTGAAGGCCCCGGTTGCCCGAGACGTCCTCGGAGAACGGCCCAAGTCACCCAAACCGCGCGGTCACCCCAAGTCCCCAGCGACTCGCCACACGGTGTGGTGACCGCACCGTTGGGGAGCCCTGGCGCAAGCTCAGGCCAGAAGAATCTTGGCATCGCCACCTGTGCCCAGCGACGCCGCCGCCAGAGCCCTTGGACGTGGCGCTTGCCTCGCCATTGCCTCGGCTCCGGCGGCGGTTTGGCTGTGTCTCCCTCGCCCAGCCTTTTACGCCACCCGCTTGCCAGTAGATTTCGTTCCTCCGCATCGGCAGCATCACGATGTTATCGGCCACGGAGGCTCCCCCCACTCAGGCAAACGCTACCATTGATCTGCGACGCGGGCGTGGGGGGGACTAACCAGACAGTATGGTCGGTCGGATTGATTATCCACCCCATGACGGGACGCCACAACGATGTCGGCAGACTCTGGGCGCACTGCATTTGCGTTGCTCTTGGTTGCGATCGGCACAGGGTGTCCTGAAGCTCTACGGGAGCGTTTCCAACCCCTGCTGCGACCGCGCCACGCGCCGCCTACGCGCGCTCACAAAACAGCGTCGACCTGCGGTGACAGACTTCGCGGGTGAGGCCAGCGGCACTGCGCGTCTCGAGCCTTGCCCTGACGGCCGCCGTCCGGGTGAGCCGGACAGTCAATACATGGATAAATACGGCGGACCCACGCAGGGCTGTATCCCTGGATTCGTCGAACGGGCCCAGGTCCCAATCGAGTGCATCGCGCCCACTTTTGCTTGGTCCCCGAGGCCGAGCCGCTCATCCATGTTGTCCGCTTCCAGCTGCTCGCGACACTTTGCATCTGTGTTGGCAACATGTTAGCGAGAGGGGCGAGGGGGCCCCCCCAAGTGATCTGCCGCACGTAATCGAGCGCGCATGGCTGGGCGGGCGGGTCAAGGCACGAGGGCGGGGGAGAGGGGGCGGGGCAGGAGGCCCGCGGCCCGCGTGTGTGGGTGGGAATCCGTGGCCTTGCCAGGACCTTCCATCTCATCGTTGCGGCGGGGGTCCCATGCAGCAGCCTGTGTGGTTGGTTTCTCGGCGACCAGTCAAATAACCAGCCTGGATATCTGCGGAGCGCAATCTGCGTGGCGAAACCGCCCGCGCTCGGTGGAGCACAGCGATTTCGCCCCATTGACAAGACCGACGCATGCGACTCTGATATGGAAAGCTAGAATGCCAGACGGAATTTGGGATGCAATGCCTAAGCGTATACCTTTGCAGAATTCTTCACGAGAGAAATCGACAACGGGACCCGTCGTTAATCCACCTGCCTTGATCCATGCTTCCATTTCTTTGACCCATGGCGTCGGCATGTGCAGGGGATGGAGGCACATGGGTGCACCCTTCCTTGGGACATTGCCTTCGGTGCGGCCGCGCACGCACTCACTTTTGATCGCTACTGTCCAGCATGCTTCCCCACGCATGTGCGAACAACCGCTGCCGTTGCAGGGTCTGTAGGAGCAGCACGCGGCCGGCGCAAAATGAACGCACCGTGCAGCCATCGTGCTGCCATGGCCACGGCGAGCCTCGGCCACGAATGGGTTGCCCGACCTAGAACGCAGAAACAGGTCGAATACCACAATCCTCATTCATCCAAGGTGATCCGTGTTGCAGCGTTTTGACTGCAAGGGTGGCAACACACCGAATTGCCAAACACGGGCTCAGCCTTTCCCCCACCGCAACATGCTCCTCGAAAACTGTACTCTGACTCTCCTACTCAATCGTTTGACACAAATGCTCCTGGGCCATGCAATGCCGGCTGCGTGCGTCTTCGTCGGGCCAGGTTTAGGCAGCCAGTTATGACGCAGACAACTACATTGAACGAGCCATTCCCAGAGGTCAAACCCATATCTGGCCGCGAAGACTGTGAGAGCAAGAGTGAAGACCCCAAGCCGGAGCAGCCAGGAATCTTGGCTTAAGTCGGGCGTGTCCCTCAACAGGAGGAATACTCAAACATAGTTGAAAAATAATAAGGGACGATTTTTGAATATTGGTTGATTATTTTGGGGTACTTTTTGGCTGCTTTTAATTTCTCGTTTAAAACCCCCCTGTAGGAGGACAGGCCCGACTTAAAGCATGGCGCTCCGCGCAAGCCGATGAAGGCAACCTCGGGCCAAGAAGGGGCTCTCGCCTCGGCCTGCCTGCCCCGGCGGCTCTCACCGGCTCTATTCTTGTCGAGGGGACCTCCCTCCGATCTCCGTTTCGGGCGGCGGAATTGGTGCAGGCTGCATTTGTGGACCTCACCTGTACAGATGAGATCGCCATTCTTCTTATTCCGATTACACTAAAGAAAAACTCAAATCAATGGATGGTTCGAGATCGATAAGAGAGATCGACCGCGAACGCGGAACCCGGGAACCCGGAACCTGGGAACCCGGAACCCACCGAAATCGGCCCGGAACCAATAACCAAAAACCCGGGAACCCGGAACCGGGAACCCGGGAACCCAGCCGGCTACCAACATCGGCGGGAAGCTCTCGCCAAATCTTTCAATTTCCGCTCGGGCCCCTTCAGCGCACGCACTGATAGGGGAATGACGCCTGCCGAAGCCATGGCTCAATCATCCTGGCTCTACCCGCCTGCGCGGCCCCCAAGTGGCGGTTGGGCAGTGCACATCTCTTCAGAAGGCCACGAGTGCGTTCGTCCTCCAGTTTCGCTCCTCCTCAATCCTCTGGCCCCGCCCCATGCGCATTCATTGGATCTTCAAGGAAATGGAACGTGTCCAGTGTCCAGTTTCAGCTTGCCAGCAACGGATTCATCTCTCCGATCCCATTGAAGGCAGCTTCAGAAGTTACGCGCGCAGGCTTTGTAACATGCTCAGACGTTCGCCACTCTGATGCACGCGGCACAGGGTGTCCTGGAGCAAGCGTCCAGCATGTTTGCCTATTGCCAGTTCGAAAGCAAGGGCCACATTTGTTTCAAGCCGTTGGCGATGCCGCCATGAGCTCAGAACAACGACAAGGCTCAAGTGCAAGTCCTGTGCGTTCTGCGGCGGCAGCTGCCATGTTCATTCCTAATGATCCTGCTTCGACCGCATGGTGGGGTGCCTGTGCAGCCGCAGCTCCTCCCAGAGTCCCAGCCGTTGCTTTGCTTTGTTGTTGCTTCTCGATTTGGGTGAACAAGCAGAGCACGCTTTTCCACCTAGGCAGCCGTCCCATCGCGTCGCCGAGCTCGGGTGCACTTCGTGAAGACGACAGAAGGCGATCCGCCCGCATGAAGGGGCGAGCCGGATCCACGCTCGACTGTCCCTCTGAGGACGGCCAGGGCGGCAGACCCTCCTGTGGGGTTTCCCCGCCTCCTCCCTTTCCCTTCCCCTCCCCTCCCCGTCTTCTTGGTTTCTGAGAGCCGCCCGCCCTGCCAAGCCGCTCGGCTCTGGGTGCACACTTCTCCAGGGCCGGTCCAAAACAAGCCGGCCCTCGCCGCCCCCCCCCGCCCCCCCCCTGCAGAGCCGTCCGGCGGGCCCTCGACGCTGGCACGGGAAATGGCCCAGCCTTGGGCTCCTGGGGAGGGGGCCTAAGCGCAGGAATGGCCAACTAGGATCACAGTGGGGGTTGCTGAGTGGATCGGGGTTCATATGTGGATGCTGAGGTGGGTCATATCTGGCCCAGCATAGCCTACTCGTGGGCTACAGGTGTCCTAAATGGCTTGGATGGATTCGATGGATCCGCTAAGTGGGCGTTTCCCACTCAGCTCAGGCCCTGTCCCAGCACAGGTGGGGATGTTTCTACTGAGGATGATGTTTTCCTCCTCTCCCTCCCTCCCTCCTTCTCTCCTCCACCTCCACCTCCACCTCCTCCTCTCCTCTTCCTCCTCCTCCTCCTCCTCCTCCTCCTCCTCCTCCCCAACAACCCACAGCAAGCGTGCCTAGACCCGAATGGGCCGACACCTAGAAACATCAAGAGGTTCTCGTGAACCGCAAGTGCTCCAGGGGAAAGAAACAAAGATATCTTGCTCTGGTTTTCGGGTCATACCTCTGGTATCCGTCGGCCGTTTAAAACGATTCAGGCACCCTGGGAACTCTTTCGTCGAGGCGCAATGGCTGGAGAGCATCACCTGGCTGGACAGCCTCCAGGAACGAACCTACGAAAGCACTCGAGAACCCGAAAAACTCGACCTTCCTTCTCTTCTTCCTCCTCCTCCTGCTCCTCCTCCTCCTCCTTCTCCTCCTTTTCTCTCCTCTCGCCTCCATCCGAAGCCTCCGCTCGCGTGGGCCGTCCTGCAGTTGCGGGGCGACCATCGAGGGCAGCGGCACTGGCAGCGGCTGATCCTGCAGGTGTGCGCGAGGCGAGGACCCAAATCCCCCCGCATCGTAGACAACAGGACGGCGGTGAACCTCGACAATTTTCGGCCTTCGGCACCCTGGCTGCATCCCTCCCCCTCCTCCCCTCCACCTCCTCCTCCTCCTCCTCCTCCTCCTCCTCCCCCGCCTCCTCCTCCTGCTCTTCCTCCTCCTCCTCCTCCTCCTCCCCACTCCCTCCTCCTCCCCCTCCTCCTTTTCCTCCAATTCCTCCTCCTCCTTCTCCTCCTCCTCCTCCAGTCCTTCCCCTTATCCTTATGAATAACTCCACCGCGTCGCGCCCCGAGGCTGGTCGAAAGGGGGGACCGGGCGTTTCGCCTGAGACTTCCTCACCATGTATGATCCTGAAGCTAAGAAGTTGCAACAACTTCACAGGAGGAGGGCAGGTCGTTTTCAAAATATGGTTCCCGCCTTAGCGCCGCGAACATCCGTTTGAAACAAGTGCGAGAGCTTGACGGATAGAGGGCGGGATGCTTCCAAAATGAAGCTCTCGCTTTAGCGCCGCTGTACAAAAATCTGTTTCACAGTTATATGTAAACATACATAGTTAAACGGGTTACACGGATGGATGGTGGTTCTTTTTCAAAATGTAACTCTCGCTCTGGCGCCGCGCGCATTGGCTTCAGGAGTTTGCAACAACAACTTCCAAGATCGTCATGGTGGGAATCCTCAAACATAGTTTTTTGGCACGGTGCCGGATTGTCAGGGCGCAACAGTTACGTTGATTGGTGGTGCTGGAATCCCAGGAACGGTGTTCTGGCACGATTCAGGATCGCCCAGACACAATAGTACTTTTGACTTGCGGCGTTGAAGTCTCAGGAATGATGTTTTGACGCAGTTCAAAATTTTCGAAAGGTTATTCTCGAACGGGGCACTTCGTTCAGTAAAAATGTATCCTTGCAGGAGCCTGTAAAGAGGGAGCTTGGAGGGAGGGCTTCTTGCAATATCGTTGATGAGTGATGAATCTTGGGGTCCCTCCTCCTCCTCCTCTCCTCCTCCTCCTCCTCCTCCGCCGCCTCCCCACCCCACTCTCTCATGAACAGGGAATTTGCAGGGAGGGTTTGTTGCAATATCGTTGATGAGTCTTGGGTTTACAGCGGCTCTCCTCCTCCACCGTCTTCCCCTCTCCTCACCCACTCCTTCTATTCACCTCCTCCCCTTCTGCTCCCTCTCGCCTTCCTTCCCCCTCCGTTCACCACTTCCTGCGCCCCCTCCTCTCCCCCCCTCTCTCCTCCTCTTCCATTTCTTTCCTTATGAATAACTCCTCATTGTTGCCCGCGGAGTCCAGTCGGAACGGCGGGCCTGGCGTTTCGCCTGAGACTCCATTACCACTTATGAGCTTCAAACTTGGAACATTGCAACAGCTTCATGGGTGGAAGGCGGGTGGCTTCCAAAAGGTGGCTCTTGCCTTAGCGCCGCGCACATTCATTTCAAACATTTGCATGAGCTTCACGGATTGAGGGCGGGTCGCTTTCGACATGTGGCTGTCGCCTTGGCGCCACGCACATCCGTTAAAAAAATCCGCGCTCGAATTATCAATTGAAGACATGGGTTTCAACATGTGGTTCTCGCCCTAGCGCCGCGCACATTCGTTATACAACTTTGCACCAGCTGCACATATGAATGGCGGTTTGATTTCAACATGTGGCCGTAGTGTCGGGCACACTCGTTCACATTTCCAATATTTTCACAGACTAAGGGCTGTTCCTTTTCAAAATGTGGCTGTCGTAGCGCGGCGCACACTCGTGTTTATCATTTGCATGGGCTTCACGGATTGAGGGCGGGCCGTTTTCAACATGTGGCTTTCGCGTTAGCGCCGCGAACATTCGATTCAAACATCTGCAACGCACTTATCAAGTGAGGACAACTGAATTTCAACATGTGGTTCTCGTCCTAGCGCCGCGCACATTCGTTATACAACTTTGCAAAAGATCCACGGATGAGTGGCGGTTCGGTTTAAACATGCGGCTCTCGCCTTAGTGCCGAGCACATTCGTTCAATGTTCCCAGATCTTCGCGGACTGAGGGCTGTTGCTTTTCAAGATGTGGCTTTCGCCTTAGCGCCGCGCACACTCGTTCTTGAACATTTGCATGAGCTTCACGGATGTTCCTGGTTAGCGTGCCAGAGATGGCGTTTTGTAGCGATTCAGGATCAGGGCGCAACAGTTGCGCTGACTCGCGGTGTTGAAGTCCCAGGAAGGCACTTCTGGCACGGTTCAAGACGCAACAGTGAGGTTGACTCGTGGCGTTGAACTTATGGTGATGGTGTTTGGGCGCGCTTCAGGAGCTTCAAACGATTGTCCCCCAAGGGGGCACTTCCCTCAGTGGAGATGAATATTTCTAGGGCCTGAGTAGAGAAAGCTTGGAGGGAGGGTCCATTTTAACATCGTTGATGAGTCTTGTGTGCGCAATGGTCCTTTTCCTCCTCCTCCTCCTCCCTCCACTCACCTCTTCCCCATCCGCTCCCTCTCCCCTTCCTTCCCCTCCACCTCCCTCTACCTCCTCCCACGCCCTCCCCCTCTGAAGGGGCCCAGGGACACACAAATGAATGCACACAAATCCGAGGATTCCCCATCTTTTCTGATATTTTCTCGGTTTTCGTCTTCCCCCCACTTTCACATTTTCCCATCTTTTTCTGGGAGCTGACGATTGTAATTGTGTCTGTGTGTTTTTTCCCCTCCTGACCCTCCTCCCTCCCGCTCCTCTCCTGCCGGGCGCGCGAGACGAGGACCCAATCCAGAACCCCTCCCGTCGTGGAAATCGGGCCGAGGGGGGAAGTCCGACGAGTTCTCACGTTTTCGTCGGCTCCCGCAGGTTCTCCAGCCCTGGAGCTTTTCCAGGCCCAGAAGCTGCGCATCGCCGAAGCCGCTCCGGGGTTGCCCGGATCGTTCCGAACGGCCGCCAGAGACTCGATCTATGACCCACAAACTAAACTCGGCGATGCGCTGAAGGGGGAATCGGCGGCGAGCGAGGGGGGGGAGTGAGAAGGAGAAGGCCTTCTCAGAAGGCGGCGGGATTTCTCAGAAGCCCTCGCGCCTTCTGAGAACTTTTTTGTGCTTTCGGGGAAGGCTTAGAAATCTTCTCAGAAGGCCGGGGGGCTTCCCAGCCTTCTGAGAAGGCCCGCCCCTTCTCACTCCCCCCCCCCGCTCGCCGCCGAGGATAGCGTCTCGTCGAAGCGTGGTAGGCCAGACCCGGCGGCGTGACACGTTGAACCAAACAACTCCTGATCGTCGAGATCTCCCGAGAAGGCCTGAGGCTTTCTGAACCTTCGGAGAAGGCCTGCTCGCTCTCACTTCCCTCCTCGGCGCGCCGCCGACGCGCTTCCTGAAAAAAACACGGCGGGAAGTGTATGGCCAACCTCGGCCTCCAGGGGGCGCGTGCTAGCTGGGGCCCCCGGAGCGTCAAAGACCGACTCGGGAAGAGAAGCCAGCCTTAGGTCGGGCCAGTCCCCCTGCAAAAGGAATTTTGGACGAAATGCTAATAAACACACCCACACACACACACACGCACATCTTCTAAACATCACACATGCTTTCAACAACCGTCCCCACATGCTTTTTTTGTGACAATTTTTGAATATTCCTCCTGTACAGGGACAGGTACGACTTCAAGCCAGCCCCTGGGAATGAATAAGTCCATACCTCTGGAGGTCCACGCTGCCACCAAAAATGCGATGTCGGGGTCTGAGTGAGCGCGGGAAGTGCCCATAGCCCCCCTCCTCCTCGCCTGCTCCGTCTCGTCTCCCTCCTTCCCACGCCTCTCTAGCCCCCTCCCTCCTCTCCCGCCTCTCCTTCCTTTCCTCCGTCTCCTGGGCCCCCCCTGACCGAGAAAAAACCCAAACCGAGGAAAACCCCATACCGAGGAAAGCCTGAAACGAGGACCCCCTGTAACGTTGCTTGCGTAGAGAGCAACAAACACACCACGGACACCCAGCAGTTGTTGTATTCGATTGGGGCCCTGAGCGGTTCCTGGGAATCCCTGTGAATCGTCCAGACTTCAGGACACCTCAGAATTCCTCAGGATTCCAGAGGATTCCCGAATAATCTTTGTAGAAACCGCCAGGACTTATACAGATTCCTCGGGGAATCATTCAGGGTTCATGAGGATCCATCCGGATCCCGAAAGAACCTTTGCGTGATCTCTCAAGATGCCTCTGGTACTCTTCAGAGTCCAACTGGATTCCGCAAAAATTATCCGACTCTTCCAGGTTCCTCAAGGTTCCTCTAAACCCCTGAGTGACCACCACAACCTCTAGGATTGCCAGAGACCCCTCAGAATCCCTCTGGACTTCCCAGGATTCGTTTCCCTATGAAGCCTCATAGTTGCCCAGGATTCCTCAGGAATCCTGAGGAAACCCAAGGTTTCTCACGATTCCCCAGGAATCACTAGAACCCATCAGGATTCCATAGAAACCATAGGAATCCTCATAACTCATATCCCATTCGGATTCCTCCGGATTGATTGGGATCTTCGGAATATCTAAATATTCCACCAGAACGCCGGAAATCCATATTTTTTCTCGGGAATGCTCCAAATCCTTGAGAAAATTTGAAGAAACCGCAGGGTTCCTTAGTAATCCGCTTAATTCGCCTGGATTCATCGAGATTGCTCATGAATCCTCAGCAACCCTCAGGATCCCCCAAGGCTCACCAAGAATCCTCTGTCAACCATGCGCATCTCTCAGGATCCTCCGGGTATAGCAGGATTCCCCAGTGTTCTGACGGAAATATGAAAATTCATCAGAACCTTGCAGGTTTTCTCATGAACCTTCAGAAGCCCTCAAGTTTCCTCAGGAGTCCCGAAAGTTGCCCATGAACCATCGGAGGCCCTGAAGGTTCCTCAATGCTCCGCAAGGCAAGGCAGTGCTCTCCGCACAACTTCGTGCTCGTGCGAAACTGCATGGCCAACATTGCCTCGTCAAAGTGGGACCGTTGCAGAGGGGACCCGTGGCGAGCGCCATTCGGATTGCCA